CAATGGGGCAATGTCTACTTAGTTTTTTGAGCTAAACAAGAATTTTGTCTATTGAAGACCTTGATTTGGTATTTTTTTCTGTTTTGTATTTCTGAGGTTTATTTTTTAAAGCGACTGGATGCTGTGATCCACTATACTAGTCAAAGCTCATTTTACATTTTAATCATTGGGAAAAAAAGAACAGATTTGGACTCTATTTTGAAAGCCAGTTCAAACCAAAAAAACACGGACACTTGTAATTTTTTTCATATGAGGCACTTATTCTTTAGACATTGATAAGAATCTAAAAATCTGCTCTGTTGCATTTAAGCTATTACATGGTATGACTTTGTACTGAAGTTGAAAAAATCTTTTTAAGAAAATTCAATACTGTAATTATGTACCTACATCTCACCATGTAAAACTTGTCCTGGCATTTCTCAGTATCTGAGACTAGTAAAACACTCATTTTTAAACAAAAATAATTATTCTTTTTAAAATCTCATATAAACAACATGACATTATAGTATAAAAGCAAAGCAAATCAACATCTGTAATACTGAATAAGAGACTAATATATACAGCAGAAACCAACACAACATTGTAAAGAAATTATCCTCTCCAAAAAATAAATTTTTAAAAAAGATTATGTCACAGTGTATTTGGGTAATTGTGCTTTATATTCATATATTTTCAAAACTCCCTATATAGGTTGGAAAAAACCACAACTGCTATTTGATAAATACATTTATTAACATTATAGATTTTTTCATACATACTTTAATATATGTATGCATTACAATATTTTAAAAATGACTATGATCTGATGGTAGTAGAGACTGATTTTACTTGAAAATATTAACTTCATACATATCAAATGCACCATCCTTAACTATATGATTTGTTTGCAAAAGGCTTGCTGAAGTATAAACAAAAATAAAGAAGCAGTTTTTCATACCTTACACACTTATAAAGAGTTGCTAGCTAGCAGCAAGACAAATTGACTTATTTTACAATGAAAATTTACTTTGATCTTTTGAAGGCTAGTACTACGTAGAACATTTTCCAGAAGACCAGAGATGCTTCAGATAAAAAGTAAGAAATATATAAAATACAACTATCTGAAAGGTTTTCTAAAAAGAACATATTATAAAATTAGACAATCATTCTTTAAGAAGACTTTTCATATCAATTTCTTCTATTCAAACAGACTGAGATGACTCAGGTATTTTTAAATATTTCAGAAACACTTCCTCAAAAATTTCCAAGACAGCAGCCTTCAGGTGTTCCCTCAAACCCAGTGTTGCTTAAATGAAGCAAATCTTATGAGAAGTTACCACCAACCACAAGTTTTTGGGAGCATGAACTATATCTTCCTCTTTACCTTCCTCTTTACCTTACCCCCAGTGCTTAGAAGTAGACTCTCCTTGACAAATGTTCACCGAACTCAACTGTTGAAAAGATCACTACAACTTACTAATAAATAAACAGTCCTCTGGAGGATTGTGGGAAACCAAAACACTTCCAGTTTATACAAGTATTCATGAACACATGAAAATGTTCTAATTTAACCTAAATGTCCCAGCCCTTATGAGTGTTATAGGAAGAAGCAATTAAAAGGGAAAAATTCCTGAATAATTCATAAAATATGAGTAGTTTTTAAAACTAATAGAACCTGAGAATTTTAAGAGGCTAGCTAAATATTAGCGACGCTTAATCATTACATAGTATATAGCAACTTAGTAGTGAGTAGTACCACATAATCATTTTATACAGGTCCCATATTCAGTCAGGCCTGCTTTTAAAATTAAGCCACAAAAGAAAAAACATGTTCAATCTGTTTTTAAATTTAACCCACTAATCTGGATTATACAATTTGGGTCTATTAATTTAACAAAAATAGCCAAAAGTTGGTATTTGAGGAAAAGGCTTTCAGTTCAGCCTGTGAACAGTGAAAGTTTAAAAAGAAACAAAAAACCATGTAATAAAACCTTTTTCCATAAAAACCAAGATACTCAAGCAGGTCCACCTAGGTCTCTAGTTTAGGTTAGAAGTTAATTCACTATTTTAAAAGTCAAATTATTTTAAAATTTATACTAACTTAGCTTGGGCTGTTTTTTCTTTCAAATGAGTCAGGTTTTAATGCACTTAAAGGAAATTAAGCATACAGAAAAGACAGCGGCTTCAAAGAACACATAATCAGGTAGAGGAGTAACATGCAATCACCGAATTTAAGAGACAGTCAAGTGTCCTTATTCAAACTGATTCTGGGAGAAAAAGCCAGTCGCCCCTTTTCTCAAAATCAAGGCACAAAATTCCATTTTGAAAAAGTCTTATTCATGTGTCAACCTCCTAAAAATACTCATCATTTACATATATAGAGTATATGTATATACATATATATATATAACCCTTTTTATCTAGAAGTGACACTGTTCTCCTGTAATTGAGTGGTTCTCCATTTATCCTCCAAATAATCTTTGGAGATTTAATCTAAAATGTGAGGCCCAATCAACACAATGATAATTTAAGCTAAGTATAAACATTTATGAAAATTTAGCACATTACAACATACCACTGAAATATGAGGATAAAGAAAGACCTTAGTTCCAAAAGGAAAAACTACCATTACAAAGAAGTGGGTTTCCCCGCTGAAACGGTAAAGAATCTGCCTGCAATGCAGGAGACCTGGGTTTGATCCCTGGATTGGGAAGATCCTCTGGAGAAGGGAATGCAACCCGCTCCAGTCTTCTTGCCTGGGAAATCCCATGGACAGAGGAGCCTGGTGGGCTATAGTCCATGTGCCGCAAAGAGTCTGTCACAACTGAGCAACTACTTTCACAAAGGAAGTAGTCTCCCCAATTCTAATTGCATAGTGAAGATTAGCTACAGTTGTTCCTCTGGACAGGAGATTTTGACTCAGCATTTATTTACTTATTTATTTACACGCTTTAATGTAATATGGCTCAGTTAGCTCACTAGTAAATAAAAACAAAGAGGGGATTTAAAAAGTCTGAATTATAAAGAATAAAGCCTGAATTATACTAAATAACTTAACATAAAATGTCAGGGTGAGATCTAGGGGGAAATGGAATTCTCCAGGCAAGAATACTGGAGTGGGTAGCCATTCCCTTCTCCAGGGGGTCTTCTGGACCCAGAGATCTACTCTAATTTTTAAAAATGAGACAAAGAATGTCATGGAGGACCGAGTTCTAAAAGCTGATACAGAGTAAGAAGAGTGGCCTGCACAGGGGACAGCCTTAAAGCTGGATACTAAAGAAAGCAAACAGCCTCCAACTAATAAAAATAAATGGAAAAAAAAAAAAAAAAAGAAAGCAAACTTCAAAAGAGCCAGAACCCCCAGTGAGGACAGACCACTGACGTGTTATGGGCACTGCTAAGTCCCTTTCTCAGTGTTTTCAATTCAGAGGCTTGAAGTTTTCTTCCAGGATAAGATCTGATTATATGATGTAAGTCAAAGAGAGCCAGTTTTTATGTTATACAGGATGGACAGGCAAACTTTTATCTTACAAAGGGGTGGACAGTAAATATTTTAGGTGTTGCAGGTCACACAATTTGCTCTCTGATGCTCTTTCTTCCTGAGCCCTTTAAAAAAGAACAGCTCATTTTCAGCATGCTAGCCATAAACAATCAGGCTGCTTGCCAAATCAGGCCAGTCTGCAGATGGCAGATACAGAAGGAAAGCAATTCTTAAATACTAACTCTCCTCTCAAATTCCCCTCTCTTTTAACTTTAAATAACTTCAGATAAAAGAGGAAATAGAGGTTTAAAAGACTATAAGGATAAGGGATCAAATCTAACTTTCCAAAAGAGAAGCGGAAGTCTCAGAGCATACAAGCTGACTTGCTTACAGCTGAGACCAAATGCTCACTTTGCTCTCTTTCCCCCTTCCATTTTTGGAATGCTTATGGCTCAAATTTGAGGACTCCCTTTAAAATAAAGACTCCTGGACCTTTACTATATTCACAGCTTAATGTATTTGTTTTACTGGATACTTTTCACATTCTTTTATCATGATAAAGAAAGTCACACCAGGAAAAACTAATATAATACTTCTTAGTTTATACTAGCATGGGGCTTAAGGAGGCTTAGAATTCTGTCGCCTAAATTTAATAAACTACCGAGTTTACTCAGGCTGGACAGGCTAGCTTCTGAGGAGAAGCCTGAACAGGGCTGCGAGGTAGAGGGGACCAGTTCCATGACATTAACATTCAAGATAAGCAGACATCACTCCTCTCACCATATTCCCCTAGGGCACATGGGGCCACCAAGCCAAAACCTTACAGGAAGAGTCTAATCCTACCCGGCTGCCATTTTCCCTATTACAATAATATGGAATGAGAAATAGCACTTCAATGCCACTTCTCAGAGTAAGTTATATACAAAAAAGAACATTTTCATTTTCTTTCAAACGGTAACTTAAGCTCATTCTTTGCACCTGAGTTTCTAGTTATTTCCCACAGCATTTCTGATTAAAAGCCTACTTTTAAGACTCTCTAGAGACTCTAGAGAGTCTCTAGACCAAAACAGATACAGATATTCCAAATGAATCTTCCCTAAATTTAGAACGGGAATTTTTAAACAACTTTATAGAACAGTGTTACCAACACCAAAAATATCTTTCATGTGCCCATTATGAATATAAGGCCTGAAATCTCTTGGATCTTTTAAAATACACTCACACAACATATGGCTTTATAAAATATTATCACCGATAAACCATGTGTCATCCAGGTTGTTTATGAAATGCCAGCTCTGAAAGGTCACAATTTCATCAGCCACAGATTTGCGAAACTTTCACTCTAGATATGAGGTGAGGTAATATGTTTTTTCCACATTGTGTCCTCACTTTTCAGGTAAGAGGAATTTGACTCAAACTTTAAGACTGAAAAACAAGCCATGCCCTCCTCGCTCATTAAAAAAGATTACAGGAAAAAAATCATCACTTCTTCTGAATGATCTGTAAGTAGCTCCTAAACCCTCCTTTTATCCTACTGCATTTAAAACTCTTCTTCTTGAAGTTTCAGTCTGAAGTCCTCTCTGATTCTTTCCAGCAACTCTGGTTTAAAGATAACATCCAGTGCAGTCATTGCCAGAGCTTTGGCTGTTCTCAAAGTGTAGAACTGAGCTTCCTGTGATCCTAGGAAGGAGAGAAGTTAAAGAAAGGTAATTTCATACGTATTACAGCTAACTTATTCGCTTTCAGGTTAGCTCTCAATATCTAAATTGCCTGTCCAACTGACCACCACAATATAGTATTTCCTGGGGTGTTCGGTAAAGAAGTGATAATGGGCTAAACTAAGCATGTAGAAAGGCAGCTACTACTACAAAAGAACGCACGTCAGAACATCAGCTCTCACCTGCAGCTTCAGTGTACTGTTCTGTATGATTCAAGGCATTAGATCCAATGTAAAAATACGGATGAATCCCGGGAACCACAAAAGAAACATTCCCAAAATCGGTAGATCCTTGGAAAGGTAAGACAAATCATGAATTTTTAATTGCTAGTCCAACGGAGCACGTGTATCTTAATACACCTTATATACACCTGACCTGATTTACAACTCCTTCCCTTCCAGAAATTCTCTACCCTCTGGGCCCACTCTCCCGACTGTCTGGCTTTCTCTACGCCTCCCTCGCCAGTCACTTCTGCCGCCCGTCTCCTGAGCACGGGCGACCCCGAGCGCGTCATCTCTGGGTCCTCAGGCAGCCTCCTCAGCACTGAAACCTGTGTCTTCAATCACCTCTCATGTGTTGACAACCCCTAACTCTCGACCTGGACAACTTTTGGAATCGGTTACTGGGCAGCTTTCCTTAGAGGTCCTGTGAACACCTCAGACTTAACAAATGAATAATTTGTGCCAGCCCCCTATTTCAGCCCGCTCTCTCCCGTGAACTCTTATCTCTCTGAGTAACACCCGCACCTGTTTTCACCTCCAAGTCTCCGAGTCCACTCATCGACACCTACTGTATTTTAGGAGATACATTTCTAACATGGAAACTTATTAGCAATAATCCTCTAAAAGGAGAAAAAATCTAAAATTACCTGATATACTTATGAGTGTTTCATAGTTGTTTGTTATTTCTCAGAAACTGAAAATGTCCTCATGTAACCAAGTCCTTAGTAACTGGCTTACTGATAACTGAGAATGAATTAAAATTCTATTTCCCCTTTAAGTAGCTTACTTAAAAATTAGAACGAAGCAAATTTAAACACTAGAAAGACTTAGAATATAAAGCCAAGAGTAGGCTGGCTGTTTCTAAAAGCAGATCTGTTCCCATGGCATTATGTCTTTCTCCTAACCATTAAGTTTGTAAAAAAGTGTCATTAAAAAGCATAAGCAATACTTCCCCCAACCTCCAAAGCTGTTAAGCAAAACCATTTAACCTTGGATAGTACTTCCCCGCCTCAAACAGCATGGTATGTTTGAAAGAGCTTAATTACCTGAAGGGCCACTGAACATAGCATCTTCTGAAATGAAGTCTATTCCTAGCTGTTTTCCGTTTTCAACATAAGCTTTCCACAGACTCTTATTGGGAAGAACATTGTAATAATCATGTGCTCCACCGTCAATTTCCACCTAATAAAAATTACAACACGTTTAAAATTAAGAAGCTTGAACTTCAAACCAGCACTGGTTCGCTAACAGAAATTAGTTTTAAAAGGCGGCACCTACCCTTCAGGATACAAACCCACAAACCTTTACTTTAAAACCCACATTTTTCTATAAGGAGAGCTCCCAGGACCCTGTCCCCTTTATGCGATCCATGCGCTCAAGCACACCAGGTCACCGAGCTCTACCAGCCAGCGGGTCTCAGGCTCAGCCCCTAAACCAGGAGTGGGCGGCCAGCAATCAATCCCCACTTCAGCCAGCACCCCCAAGTACTGCTGATGCAGGTGGTCCCAATGCCACGTAGGAAACACTGCTCTAGGCTAGGGCCCCTAAAAGACAAATCAAGATTCCCTAATTTTCCGTATACAGACTGACCCTGATACCACTACCTTGTCTGAAAGGTATAACGCACTTTAAGAGAAAGACAGAAGATCCACAGTGTGGCGGCGTTGACTATGGTCCTCATTTATTAATTTCAGTGCATTAAGATACAAAAGCAGTTTACATGTGCCCAGCTAAGAGGATTTACAGATTTAGATTTGATTAAATAAAAAACGGGCAATATTCCCACAAACTAAAGATAATTCCAATAACATTAGGAAAAAACCAATTATAAAATGGCAGAGATATTATTCTACTCTTAGCAACATCTAAGTTAGAAACAATGAAAATCTAAACATACTAAGTCACACAGCTGTGTCTGACTCTCTGAGACTCCAAGAAATTCTCCAGGCCAGAATACTAGAGTACGGGTAGCTGTTCCCTTCTCCAGGGGATCTTCCCAACCCAGGGAATGAACCCAGGTCTCCCGCACTGCAGGTGGATTCTTTATGAGCTGAGCTACCAGGGAAGCCCAACAGATACTATAAGTCAGCCAAAACATAAAAATTATTAAAAGACTATTTAAATATAACAGGAGATAAGCAATCTAGCTGACAAGATATTTAAAGTAATAATCATAAAGATGTTCAAAGAACTCACGAGAAGAATGGATGAATAGAATGAGAAGTTTTAAACAAAGAGTTGGAAAATATAAAAAAGAACTACACAGGGCTAAAGAATACAGTAACTGAAATAAGAAATACACGAGAAGAAATCAACAGTAGGTTAAATGATACAGAGTAACAGATGAGCAAAGCAGTGATAATCACTCAAGCCGAGAAGAAAAAAGAAAAACGAATTTTAAAAAATGAAGACAGTTTAAAGAGCCCTCTGGGACAACATCAAGTGTTAACATTTGTATTGAAGGGACCCCAAAACGAGAAGAGACAGGGAAAGCAGCAGAGATCACACTTGAAGACATACCAGCTAAAAACTTCCCTAATCTGGGACAGTAAACAGACGTCTAGCCCAGAAGACACAGAGAGAGAATACCAAACAGATTCAACCCGAAAAGGACCATGCTGTCATTAAACAGCAAAAATGAAAGAGGAAGACAGAATATAAAAAGCAAAAGAGAAAAGCAACACGTCACCTACAAGGAAATTCCCATAAGGCTATCAGCTGACTTTTCAGCAGAAACTCTGCAGGCCAGAGGGAGTAACACAATATACTTAAAGTGATGGAAGGGAAAACCTACAACCAAGAATACTCTACCTGACAAAGCTTTCATTCAGATTTGAAGCAGAGATCACAAGTTTTACAGACAAGCAAAAGCTAAGAGTTCAGTATCACAAAGCCCCAGCTTTCTAAGAAATGTCTAAAGGACTGTTTAAGCAAAAAAAAAAAAAAAAAAAAGGCCAGTACTAAAAATATGAAAATTACAAAAGGAAAAATCTCATTGCCAAAGGTAAATACATGGTAAAAGTAGAAGATCAACCACTTTAAAGCTAGTAGGAAGGTTAAAAGACAAAAGTAGCAGAATCATCTGTAACTATAATAAGGAATTAAGGGACGCACAAAAGAAAAGGGTGTAAAATATGATATCAAAAGCAGTAACCGTGACGGGAGGAATAGAAACAAAAGATAGGCGTGGCTGATTTTGCCATGAAGTTGCCTTCATAGCGGCTACATAGAGCAATTCTAAAAGCATAACTGCCAATAAGGGAAAAGGTAGCTTGCAGAAAGGCAGGGATTCTAGCTCAGCAATACCAGTTCTTCTAAGTCCTGTGTGATAAGACCACTGTGGTCTTCCCTATGTGAACACGGGGTAAAATAAGTAAGGATGAAAGACTTTCAAATCAACTGATTTTTGCATCCTCAAGACACTGCCAAATGAAAGAAAGGCAAAATTAGGTTCCAATGTAACTTAATATAAGCAGTCCCAGCCCACACATGTGCTTCTGATTCTAACTTAGATTAACTCAAAGTCCTTACTGTGCAGCCCGTGGCCAAAGCTGCAGCTCTGAAGCAGTCTTCTGCCTTTTTGGTCAGAACTGGAAGCTCTTTCATTGAGGGTGCACGGAAGTAATAGATTAACTCAGAGTAAGAGGGGATGATATTGGGTTTTACACCACCATTTTTTATTATACCTATAAAAAGAACCAAATTACTGGAATTGAACTTGGAGCTTGGAGACCATTCCTTTAGTTTAAATACAGCCATAAAGTTTTTCAGCCAAAACATATATACAGAAAAATAGTTTAAACTTATTACCTTCACATATATACCAATCAAAGATTTTGATGTTATACAACAAGTTTCTATGCATAGTGTGACATTTTCTGGCTAACAGGAAAAATAGAATAACTGTCTGTATGTACTTTAGCCTGAGGAATTTACATGGTGTTAATAAATTATGATTCTTGACTAAAAAGAAACTGTCAGAAATTTTTATAAGTATTGTTAGCCTTCTGGAAGAGACTTTTATTTCAGGGGGCTTTCTTATAGTTGTATATTTTGTTAAACTTTTGACATAAGGAAAAACCCCAATGGTAGGAGGTTCTATAATTACCCTCATATCTTAGGAATCCCATTTTAAATGGCATTTGGCTCTGGGAAAATATTTGAAGCTATTTTTATGTCAATAAGAAACCAATACAAACGAAAGATTGACAAAGTATACTCTCAACCGTCAAAACAAATGCATTTATTTGGAACTATACTAGGAAAGAAGATGTATCCATTCAAAATAATAACAAATAAATAATTAAAGCCTAATATTTTATGAGCTGATTTTTTTTAAAAGTATTTTTACATATTCATGTTTGGTCCTTTTAAAGAAACTAAAGCAGAAAATCGGTAAAAGTGCAGTTACTAATTTCAGAGTACAGCAAAATCGGGTAAAGAACAGATGTGAAGTATAATAATTTCCCAAAGCATAAGGAAATAAAACTAAAAAATAAACCTGCAACTTCAAGGCAGTACTTTATTACTGTACTTACATTAAGGTGCTACACATAATTTTTAATTTTGCATAATACTTTTACTTAGGGTTAACAGCACTTGAGTATATAAAACCAGTAACCATCACTTTTTTTAAAATGAGAAAACAATGAAATTTTGTTATCAAGAAACAGGATAACTGGGAAATCAAGTTCTAACTTTCAAATACCAACAGAAAGAACAGAGATCCTTACATAAAAACATCAGTTTTAATACTCAAAATGACCATTCTATTTATGTACAAATAATCTTAGCCACACGTAAACAAACATCTACTATCCTGCGCCAGGAATTTCTGAAAATGTTAAAATTTTTTTTGAATATTCATAGAGTACATAAAATGTTCCCAAATGTTTTTTTTACATTTTAAAAAAATTTATGTATTTATTTTAAACCCATTTTTTTTTTCATCAAAGAGTCTATTAAAGAATTGTATTGCATTCAACTATATTAAGCACCATCTATTACCCAAAGTATCTGACATTTGTACCATGAACTCTCCAGGCGGGCTTCAGTTGCTGTCTTAACACAGACAGATTGTTGTAAGCGAGGACGGCAGCATCTAATGCATTCAGCCCTTCCCAGGGATAAGCGGCAGCGTGAGACGCCTTACCGTAGTACTTCACAGTCACACTAGGAAACAGAACATCATTTGGAATGGCTTTTTTCAGTATCACTAAACAGAGAAATTCCAATTATTATTCAAAATTAATTCACACGGCCAGAATTTTTATTTGCAAATTATTTGTAGCAATAATGTAACAATTTACATATCCTAGTTCTAGTTTATATGTAATCCAGGAACTAACACAAAGAAGGCAGTCCAAAAAAGAATTTTGCTCAACCTCCTTTTCAAATTAAATCTGTACACCATTAAATTCAAATAAACAATCCAATACTGTATTAAGTGCTGGTATTACAAAAAAGATGGCTCCTGTCTTCTACGCTGTATTGTGACAGTTCTGTATCAAAGGTCTGCAGAAACTCAGATAATTCTGTTTCATGGTCAAGGAAAGACACAAAGGAGGTCACATTTGTTTGTGTGTGTGTGTGTGTGTGTGTGTTTATTTATTTATTTATTTTTTGGCAGAGCCACCCAGCTTGTGGATTTTTAGCTCTCTGAGTAGGGATCAAATTCTGTGCCCTCAGCAGAGAGTGCACAGTTCTAAGCAGTGGACTGCCAGAGACTTCCCAGGATGTAATATTTGAAATGGATTAAGAAAACCTCTAAAAATCAAATTAAACTCACAGTTTTATAAAATACTCTTGCTTTAAGTCAGCTGTTCCTGACCAATACTTTATTAATGTTCCAGAATACCTGTATCACTAATGCCTTAAAATTTTATACATTGTTTTCCCATTTTCAAATAGTTCTCGCCCTAGTCTAACTACTCAGATACAATAAAAAACAAATTTCAAGGGATTGGATCTGATACACAGAATGCCTGAAGAACTATGGACGGAGGTTTGTGACACTGTATAGGAGGCAGGGATCAAGACCATCCCCAAGGAAAAGAAATGCAAAAAGGCAAAACAGTTGTCTGAGGAGGCCTTACAAATAGCTGTGAATAGAAGAGAAGCAAAAGGCAAAGAAGAAAAGGAAAGATATTCCCATCTGAATGCAGAGTTCCAAAGAATAGTAACGAGAGATAAGAAAGCCTTTCTCAGCAATCAATACAAAGAAATAGAGGAAAACAACAGAATGGGAAAGACTAGAGATCTCTTCAAGAAAATTAGAGATACCAAGGGAAGATATCATGCAAAGGTGGGCTCAATAAAGGACAGAAATGGTATGCACCTAACAGAAGCAGAAGATATTAAGAAGAGGTGGCAAGAATACACAGAAGAACTATACAAAAAAGACCTTCATGACCCAGATAATCACAATGGTATGATCACCAACCTAGAGCCAGATATCCTGGAATGCGAAGTCAAGTAGGCCTTAGGAAGCATCACTACAAACAAAACTAGTGGAGGTGATGGAATTCCAGTTGAGCTATTCCAAATCCTAAAGGATGATGCTGTCAAAGTGCTGCACTCAATATGCCAGCAAATTTGGAAAACTCAGCAGTGGCCACAGGACTGGAAAAGGTCAGTTTTCGTTCCAATCCCAAAGAAAGGCAATGCGAAAGAATGCTCAAACTACCGCACAATTGTACTCATCTCACATGCTAGCAAAGTAATGCTCAAAATTCTCCAAGCCAAGCTTCAACAGTACGTGAACTGAGAACTTCCAGATGTTCAAGCTGGTTTTAGAAAAGGCAGAGGGGAGGGGGGATCGGGATGGGGAATACATGTAAATCCATGGCTGATTCATGTCAATGTATGGCAAAAACCACTACAATAATGTAAAGTAATTAGCCTCCAACGAATAAAAATAAGTGGGAAAAAAAAAACCAACATTAAGAATGAGGCAAACAATAGTACAAATAAAAAAAAAAGAAAAGAAAAGGCAGAGGAACCAGAGATCAAATTGCCAACATCCACTGGATCATCGAAAAAGCAAGAGAGTTTCAGAAAAATATCTACTTCTGCTTTATTGACTATGCCAAAGCCTTTGACTGTGTGGATCATAAAAAACTCTAGAAAATTCTTAAAGAGATGGGAATACCAGACCACCTGACATGCCTCTTGAGAAACCTGTATGCAGGACAGGAAGAAACAGTTAGAACTGGACATGGAACAACAGACTGGTTCCAAATAGGAAAAGGAGTATGTCAAGGCTGTATATTGTCACCCTGCTTATTTAACTTATATGCAGAGTACATCATGAGAAACACTGGGCTGGATGAAGCACAAGCTGGAATCAATATTGCCGGGAGAAATATCAGTAACCTCAGATATGCAGATGACACCACCCTTCTGGCAGAAAGTGAGGAAGAACTAAAGAGCCTCTTGATGAAAGTGAAAGAGGAGAGTGAAAAAGTTGGCTTAAAGCTCAACATTCAGAAAACAGGATCATGGCATCCAGTCCCATCACTTCATGGCAAATAGATAGGGAAACAGTAGAAATAGTGACAGACTTTATTTTCTTGGGCTCCAAAATCACTGCAGATGGTGACTGCAGCCATGAAATTAAAAGACGCTTCCTTCTTGGAAGAAAAATTATGACCAAATTAGACAGCATATTATAAAGCAGAGACATTACTTTGCCAACAAAAGTCCGTCTAGTCAAAGCTGTGGTTTTTCCAGTAGTCATGTGTGGATGTGAGAGTTGGACTATAAAGAAAGCTGAGCGCCAAAGAAGTGATGCTTTTGAACTGTGGTGTTGAAGAAGACTCTTGAAGAGTCCCTTGGACTGCAAGGAGATCCAACCAGTTCATCCTAAAGGAAATCAGTCCTGAATATTCATTAGAAGGACTGATGCTGAAGCTGAAACTGCAATATTTTGGCCACCTGATGCGAAGAACTGACTCATTTGAAAAGACCCTGATGCTGGGAAAGATTGAAGGCGGGAGGAGAAGGGGACGACAGAGGATGAGATGGCTGGATGGCATCATTAACTCAATGGACATAAGTTTGAGTAAACTCTGGGAGTTGGCGATGGACAGGGAGGCCTGGCGTGCTGCAGTCCATGGGGTCGCAAAGAGTTTGACAGGACTGAGAGACTGAACTGAACTGAAGGTTTAGAGAAAGGATTGAATATTAAATAGTTATTTACAAAGATGACTTGCTTAGATAATACTTTTTAAGACTGAGTAATAATACCCACGTGTAAATTAATAAAAAGTCACTTAGATTTTTTTTTTTAATGAGTAGATTCAGGAAGCTCATGACATTTCTTTACTGATTCCAAACATTCAATTAGCAAAACAAAAACAAGTAAAAGCATTCAAGTAAAATACATTTTAAAAATTTTAGGATACTCTTTATTTCTTCAATATATATCTTATCACCCTCACCCAGAAACTGAAATTTTAACAAAACTGGTGATAAATATTATAAAATGGAAAAGGATGTCCTTTATGAAAAGGATTCTAGCACTAATTTTTCTAGGATTCAAATCTATGTACAATTAAAGCACAATAAACTACAGGAAAAGAAATGTTAATGCTTGTTTTGTATTAGTATTAGTATTTTAGGCTTAAAAACATTCAAAAAGTGATATGGAATGATATTCAAGACATACTGTTTAATTTAAAAAGCAAGAGCAAGATCAACAATATATTTAGAAGAATATTTTTTGGGGGAATCCTCCTTTAAAATTTACTTTATACAAGTACCTATTTTATGGCTATAAATACACCCTAAATGCTCTGGAAGAATATATATCTCCAGAAAAGGACTGGATGTGGGGAAGGTGAGTAATAGGGACACAGTGCTTTATTTATTGTTACAGATTTTTAGCATAAATAGATGAGTAATTTTTGTTCTTGTTCTTTTTTCCACCTTAAAAGATGGCCAATGAAAATCTAAGAAGTCAGATACTAAGAAAAGGCCTGAGGCCAAAAGGGCTGACTTCAGGATAAAGGCCAATAAACCTACCTAACCCTAAATCCTAGAAGGCTAATGGACTGGGACGCCTGCCTGCAGCCTCTGGCCCCTTCTAGCCAGAGACACTGGCAGAGATTTCCAATCTCTAAGGCTTTCCAGAGGTGTACTGCTATACATCATCCCTGAAACCAAAGATGGAAGACTCCTCCTCCTGCCACAACACCAATTGCTAGTGATAAGGCCAAAGACACCAGGACAGTTAAAATACTCACCCTCTGAAAACAGGGATGCAGAGAGAGGCCGGGTGACTGGACTGTCACTAGCACGGCCGGCCTGGTCCCTCTATTCCTCTCCAGCTACTGCGGAGAATGGAGGGTTTGAGCACCTGAGCAGGGGCTCCTTGGAACCAGACTACTAACTGACCATCAACTATTACGGTCGAAACGTCTGATGTAAAAATTTAAACACTTCAATGATGCACCCTGGTACAAAAATAAATGAATAATAAGAAGTCTCTTTCAACTTGATTACTCACTCATGTTCAGCAACGTCAGGTAGATAAGCGGCATTCTCTTGAGATGGATGGGCCATAAAAACAACATCAAGATTTTTGAAAGCCCCGGCTTCAATTAAATCAATTTTGCCACCACCATCTTCTTCTGCAGGGGTTCCCAGGACAATCACCTAGAAAGAAATACCTGTGTCAGAGGGACAAAAATTCCTAGTAGGAAATGTCAGTCAGATTTCCTTGCATATATATTCACAATCTATATCAAACTATGAAGAGAGACTTTGTTCTCTGACTCTTAAATAATGCAGTGGGTGTAAATCTATGGTGCTAAATTGATCACAAACTTGCAGTTGACATTATTATACCAATTCATTGCAAAGTATGTACTAAAACCTCTACAGGAAATTTTTCCCAATCTTCTAACACAATTTTATATAACTAATGTCAAAGATGAAAAAAGATAAGTACTATATACTAAGTCCCTCAAAATTATTTAGGACTGATTTCTTAAAGCTTTTATTTAATATATGTGTATATAATGATTCATAATCACTTTACTGGTAAGTAACTTTCTAGTTACTTACTAGTTATCCTCACAACAACCCTGTGAGGTAGGTAAGAGACCCTGTCATCATTTTAAGAAAGGTGGTTTGGAGGCAGGGAGTGAAGTGTCTTGCCCCAGGTCACAGGGCAAGTCTTAAGGCAGAGCTGGGAAGAGATATTTTGACCTTCAGGCCTGAACTTTGTTTCTTTACTAAACTACCTCTTTAAAAGGTCTTAACACATTAATCCTTTATGAAAAGTATTAAATAAATCTTAATACCACGGTTAGAGACGGCCAACTGTTACACAAACTTACTAATTCGATTCCACCAGCTCAACCAGGCAGATTTATTGGTCACCAAACACCTAATTAAACAAAAGAGAACTTTACAGAATAAACATTTTACTTCGATATTTAAACTTTAACTTCTTCAAACAATTTTTAAAACTAAAGAAAAATTATCTATAAACAACTAATATACTTTCAAGGTCATGTGTAAGAACACAATGAAAAAAGCTGGAAAAAGTCTTGGCTTGCAAAGAGAATCAACATAAACTCCGTTTTCAGGTAAGATAGATAACCTTCTAATTCTGAGTATTACGGTTCAAAATCAGAAGTGTGTATATTTCCAGGCATTCAAACTCTTATATTAAGCTGCTTTTTACTCTTAACCTTTGACTCAAGAAATCTGATGACTTTTCAGGTTAAATCTTGCTGACTTCTCTGAACCTTCCATAAACCTGGTTTAAAGTTAAACCTCTTGTGTTTCACGCAAAAGCAAGGACACCTCCTCCCCCAAACAAAACAAAATCCTAGCCAGATGAAAAACAAAGGCCCAGTCAGAGGCAGAAAAGAGAAGGCAGCTAAACAGAAAAAGCCACAAAAGATGGAACTGTTAGAATAAAACAGAAAGGTTACTGACGCTGGGGAAAAAATGGGCTAAAGAATATGAAATATAACACTAGTCTTCCCCTTAACCGGAATGGTGTTGACTGAATCTTAAGCTCACAAAATGAAGAATATACCATCTGGAAAAACAGAGTAACACAAGACTAAACGTGCCTTATGGCTAACATAAACAACATTTCCCTGTTTAATTTCGAGTTAATTTCTTTAAATCGCGAAATAAACCATCAGACTTAAGGATCAACTCGTCTATGTTCTTAATAGTCACTCTCCTCCCATTTTCTGTATACTTCTAGAGGTTTTGTAGTTCTAACGGGTGAACATTTCCTATCCAAACTCCAATGATTAGAATCACAACAGCTTCTAGAACTGCCACAAACAAAAAAATTTTTTGGAGCCTAACAAAGAGGGTCTGCAGGTTTCCCTACAATAACTACTTCCTTCTAGAGATTGCACAACCTTGTCAGACAATTGCGATTGCCCGTTACCAAAAATAAGCCATCACGAAAACCAGGCTTGGTTCTAAGGTTCTTTCCTAAGGGAGAACGTCGACTCAGTTGTTTACAACTACACAGGAGAGAAAAAGCAAAAATCTGTAAAATGTCGCTAGGTCGGCAACTCGTGCACTACTGACTTTGATGCAGGGGTTCTGCCCACTCTAGCAAAGGCCAGGACACGGCGCGCGGTCTCTGACACCTGCCCCGGGCTGGGAAGGGACTGATGCGCACGGGAAGCGCCAGCTGCCGCCGTCCTCCGGTAGGTCCGGACTGGGCAGGCAAAGGCAGCCCACTCCCGGGTCCCACCTCACCTTCACCGGCAGAGGCAGTCCGGCGAGGCTCTCCAGGGCCCCCTTGACGCCCAGGGCGGCCGCCGCCCCGACCTCGGCGATCAGGTTGTGGCCGCAGGCGTGCCCGATGCCGGGCAGAGCGTCATACTCGCAGAGAAAGCCCAGGTGCAGCGGGCGCGGCGCCGCCCAGCCCCCCGGCGACCCCCACTCGGCGCGGAAGGCCGTGGCCAGCTGGTAGTGCGGCTGCACCGCCCACGACCCGGCCGGGGTCTCGCTCTGGAAGAAGCGCGTCAGCACGCCGTGGGCCTGATGCTCTTCGTAGGCCAGCTCGGGCTCGCTCCAGATGGCGCGGCTCAGGGCCCCCAGGCGCTCGGCCGCCGCGTCGATGCACTCCGCAGCGCGCAGCTTCAGCAGCTCCAGATCGGAGACGCTGGCGCAGGCACCCCCTTCCACCGGCCGCTCCTCTCCGGGTCTCATCGTGCCCACAGCCGGTGACCGGTCAGCAGTTCTCTCCCTGGACCGCTGGCTCGCTCCGTCCCGGCGGCCCACCGAGCCTGCGTACCCGCCCGGCGTCCGCGGAGGTCGTCGCCACAGCTCCCGGGAGGCCCGCCCCCGAGTCCCCCGGCCCCGCCTCCAGAGCCTCGCCCGCAACGTGCTCCGCCCCTTCTGCAGCCCGCAGGTGCTCCGCCCCCGGTCGGCGCGGGGGTCGCGGGGAAAAACCCGGTTCCGGCGAGCCTGGGTCCTCGTGGCTGGCCTGACAGCTGATCTTTGCTCTAAGGGCATCATTCCTTGCCCGTCGTTGCTTCTGCCCCACAGAAGCAGAATGGGGACGGCTAGTAGGTATCAGAGCAGGCCAAGTGAACATTTGTTGTTTATAGTCGATAAGTCGTGTCCGATTCTTTGCGACCCGGTCTACTGTATCCCGCCAGGCTCCTCTGTCCATGAGATTTCCCAGGCAGGAATGCTGGAGTGGGTTGCCATTTCCTTCTCCAGGGGGTCTTCCCGACCCAGGGATTGAAACGAAACCCTCCCCCCCGCCCCCCGCCTCAGCCCCGCCGCGTCCTGCTTTGCAGGTGAATTCTTTATCGCTGAACCAACCAGGGGGTCAAGTGCAACACAATCCCCCTGAAAAACCAGCTCTCTCTAAAACAGGAATAAGCCACTCTGTTTCTAGAATAGTAATACAAATTTATACAAGGTTTTTAGTTCATAAAATTGGGTGCCGATATAAATGGTTTGCAAAGAACCCCGGTCTATAGACTACGAACTTCACTCTTCGGTTTGCCCCCACTTTCTCCTCCTTGAGGTTCTTGAGTAATAGAAAAGCTGAAACTACTGTATATGGCTTTCTCATTAGAATCAGAACTTACTAACGACTGGAACAGTGCCTGGAATGCAGTAAGCACTAGGTATGTATTCCCTTCATAGTCTATTTGAGTAGAGTAGAATTAGAATTAAGAATTTAAAATGAGGTTTTGTGGGGGGTTTTTTAAAGAGCAAAACAAAGTTAATTAAAAGATACATGGTTATATATACTCATACTATGTTGTTGATTTGACTATGTTTTTTTAATAGTAACAGCGTTGAGAGAGAGCATATTTTCTGTTTTTGTTTACAATTTTGAGGCTGAACTCAAGTAACATGAGGTATCTAGTTGGTGTCCACATTATAACTCGGTTTTAGATTACCCAATGAAGAAATTCAAGATGCCCCAGAGTGAAGCACAAAGTCTGAAAAACTGTTGTTAATGATATAACTATTAATAGCACGGTAGAGATTTATAATCTAAGGTGTTACACATAGTAAAAGCTTCCATCAGCATTTCAGACCCTATCACCTCTTTCCTTAATTTGTCACAATTAGGTTAAATCAGACAGAATATATTCATATAATAAGACAAATATATTTTTAAAAATATATTTTGGTATGAATCATTTTTAAAGTCTTCACTGAATTGCTACAGTATTGCTTCTGTTTTATATGGGATGTTAGCTCCCTAACCAGGGATTGAACCCGCACCCCCTTCATTGGAAGGGGAAGTCTCAACCACTGGACCACCGGGGAAGTCTCAACCACTGGACCACCAGGGAAGTCCCCAAAATGTATTTTTTTTAAAAATACATTTCTAGTCTAAAGAAAGCTAAATATACATGAAGACTATCTACTGCTGCTATAACTACTACACATATTAACATACTAGAGTATGTTAAAATACTAGAGTAATGTCACATTTTAGATCAGAAAATATTCTCAGTGTAACCAAAACTCAGCCCTAGAGACAACAAATGTGGAATTAAGTTCCTGGACCCTCTTGTCTATGCTTAGTAAACTTACCGAGATACACTTCTGCAATAATCTCCTTTGAGTCCATGAGATCAGTATTACTGTGTTCAACTGGCTAAAAAACTGGCCTTGTTTGAGTAAAAACAATAGGTGACATTTGTAGAGCATTTCCTCTGTAACAGGAGCTAAGTGCTTCACAAGTATTAACTCATTTAATTCTCATAACAACCAACCGATGAGGTTGTTAATGAGATTGTTTATCTTCACTTTACAGATGCATTGTATGAGATTCCACTGCTAGTAAGTAGTGGATCTTTTAGATATGTATAGATAAGTATAGAACAGAAGCCAGTCTGGCTCCAGGGGCCTACTTTCAGCCACTGTGCTCTATTGCTTATCCAAATTCTTAAATTCATCTATAGCTTGTCAATTGACACCAGAACCCGTAACAGTTACTCATTTTGAATAAATTTACTGCATCAACCCTGCCTGTTGACATCAGTAGCACTCATGTTTGCTTGCTTTTATCAGACAGGTATAAACAACAACAGAAAAGGGATATGTAGAAATTCTATATAGAAGCTGCTATTTATATGACCTGTGAATTAACAAAGCTGTCATTTGAGGCAGAGAAAAGTAGATTCATTTCGAGCTTTGTTTTGTGTGTATGCACATGCATGCATTCATGTGTTGGGTTTCTATTGTTGGCAGCCTGTATTTCTTACTGTATTCTTAATTTACTTAATAAATTGTGATAATTTGTTGAATATATATCTTCCTCTCCAGTCTCTAGACTTCTTTTGCCTTCCCACTGTGTTTCTGACATGGTGCGGTGGTGATACAACCTTTCCTTGTCAATAAATGTGTGTTGGTTGGTTTTTCTTCTTGAATCTAGTAGGCTAATGGAGTAATGCTAGCAATCAACCACTCAGCTATGATAAATACCTGCAGATACTGTGTGTCTATGTGATTCTCCTTCCCAGACTTCTCAGCCCTTTGCCTGTGGGAGTTGAGAGGCAGGACGAATGGCCTCTGGAAGCTGATGGAGTTGGACACATGCCTCCTTGAACGAGGTCAGCTCAGCAGTTCTCACGATCACTGTCATTCACGCTCATAATGTTCATGCAGCTGTCTATGTGCTACTACTGAGGAGCCTGCGGTTCTTTTTCCCGGAAATAACCTTTAAAGATGTAGAGCGCTTCCCTTCCTTCACTAGGTGCTGTATCTGCAAAGATGATGCAATGCCCAGAATTCAGTATGAAGGTGTTAATTTTGACCTTTGTTTTGGGGACGGGGTGGGTAGAAAGCGTCCTCATTAAAGGATTGATTTTAAAGTCCAAGGATACTTCTCTCTCTGCTCAGGAAATGAGCCTCCATGACACCTGATTCCATATGTTTTATTTTTTTTTAATTTATTTTTTTTTTCCCATATCTTTTAGAACAGGAAATTCATGACAAATGAGTGCTTTGTTGGGAAGAGTAGATCAAGTATTTCCTTTACCCTGGGAAAGCAACATTGTCAATGACTGAAATGCTTGCCAAATTGTACAAGACTAAGACTAGACTTGGAGAAGGAAATGGCAGCCCACTCCAGTATCCTTGCCTGGAAAATCTCATGGACAGAGGAGCCTGGTGGGCTGCAGTCCATGGGGTCGCAGAGTCGGGCACGACTGAGCGACTAACACTTACTTACTTAGACTGGATAGTATTCTGGACTTCAGATTTAGAACCCTTTCTGGCAAGACAGCAGACTTGGATAAGGTTGATATTCTTATGATTATAATAAAATAAAACCCTCAGCATAGATGTGCAAAGCATGACCTAAATAAGAAGAAAAAAAATATGTTGAGAACCCAGAAAAAGAAATAGAATGAAAAATTAGATAGCATATTAAGAAACCACTTCTGGGCTAAGATGTTGGGAAAGCTGGCTGTAAGGCTGAGTAACCAGAGAATTGATGCTTTCAAACTGTGGTGCTGGAAAAGACTCTTGAGAGTCCTTTGGACAGCAAGGAGATCAAACCAGTCAATACTAAAAGAAATCAGTCCTGAATATGCATTGGAAGGACTGGTGAGGAAGCCGAAGCTCCAATCCTTTGGCCACCTGATGCGAAGAGTCAACTCACTGGAAAAGACCCTGATGGTGGGAAAGTTTGAGGGCAGAAGGAGAAGAGGGCGACAGAGGATGAGGTGGCTGGATGGCATCACTGACTCAGTGGACATGAGTTTGAGCAAGTTCCGGGAGTTGGTGATGGACAGGGAAGCCTGGAGTGCTGCAGTCTGCGGGGTCTCAGAGTCGGACACGAGTGAACAACTGGACGACAACAACAACAATAAGTGAACCAAGAGAACGGGTTGGCAGAAAGATGAGTTTTGACTGAGGGTGAAGGGACATAGCAGAGTTGTATACACTTTTTTAAACATTTGTCTATTTTTTTTATTTGGCTGCACTGGGTCTTAGTTACGGCCTGTGGGATTTAGTTCCCTGAAGAGGGATGAAACCCGCCCCCCCCCCACTGAGAGCATGGAGTCTCACTCACTGGACCGCCAGAGAAGTCCTACACTGTTGAGGAGACCGTGGGTGACCATCAGATGTTACTAAACAGGAGAGAAATAAAATCAGAGTTTTGTTTTGGAAGAATAATTGATGATGATGTGGAGGATAAATGGAAACAGAGACACTTTGGGCTGAGACAAGCTGAAAACTTCCTGCAAAGTCCCTGTAGAATGTCTAAAAACATTCTACAGACAGAAGTGGCCAGACTCGATGCCTGTTTGAAAGGCACCGTTTTGGGGGAAAGAGAAATGAGCAGAGGAGGCGGGATGACTGAGGTGTCTAGTGGGAATGGCCAGGTGGGTGGTAAAGTCATTCAATGGATAGGGACAGTGAGGAGGTGAGGGGCCAGTGGATGGACGTGTGTCAGAGGCGGTGGATGCCGCCATACCGGAGCCTAGCCGTGGCTGGAAGGAAAGAGGAGGAGCTGAGGAAACTGCGTACCCATGTATCTACTATGATACTGGCTTATGCCCAGAGGAGAATTACACCGTCCAGGGAGTGAGTGAGTAGGCAGGAAAAATGTTAAACCGAGGAAGAAACGCTAGAAAACAGAAACAAAGGGAATGAGCAGAAATGTCTGGCAGGACCTTGCTTCGTTGGGTAAGGTTCCAGGACAACTTGTTTTCAAGTTCTGTATA